TGTTGATGTAAGTCCGTAGTAACCTCGTCCATCCACATGTCTTGAACTTCGAGGTCGATGGAGCCCATGTCGTCGCCACAGTCGGTCCAGATCTTCTCATAACCACTCATATTCTTGCTCTTCTTCGTCTGCATACTGTCTGAACCTTCAGCTGCTGCTCGGGCCTTTTCTTCTTTATCTTTCAGCTTTTGTCGTAGTCTAGCCTCTGTGGGATAATGTTCCTCAGCACTGTCTGCGAATCGCACCATCTTCGTCCGCGTCGTGGGAGTGTCCAAAGCTTCTCGCTCGTGATATTGCGACTCTGGTATCATCTCCTCTTGTCCGCTATTGCTTCCAGATGTTTGTCTGCATCCAACCTGTCGCCATAGTTGCGATGTGAACTCCTGGATCATGCTCTGACGCGCCTCGAAGATGATCTCTGGATTTCTAGTATGATCGGAATCTTGATAATGCTGTCCGTGTCCGCAGTTGTTCCACTCAGGAAACTTAATCGTACTCATGATCTTGGTGACCTGACCTGCTGGAAGTTGATTCGGCCCAATTTTCACTCCAAGTCTGCACCATCGCATCGCCTGAACGTGAAGATCTGACATACTCTCCAGCCTCATGAGCCCGGAAGTCTCCCACATCGAGTTCTTCGCACTGCCTTCCAAGATAACTGCACACGATATCTTCATGGCTTCAATCATGATTTGAGCCAGATTCCATGCCCGTCGCCGTTCTCGGTTGTTGATAGCCGATGTCGGGGATCCAGACAACGTTATCCATAGTAAATCAGGCTTCAATCTGACCAGATCTGACATAGTCCGTTCCAATCTGGTCAGGCTCATGATACTCCTGGTGTCGTAGTGTGTGATCTGTATGTGTCGCTGTGACCGTCGTCCACAATCTGTCAGAGCTCGCTGACGAATCGAATCAATATCGTCCATGATCCAAGCTCTAAATATAAGACGTTCATGTCCAGTGCTGTCCATCAGAGAAGCTGATTGCTCCAGAAGAACACCACGAGGAGGTGAAGGGTCAGGCTCCACATCAGAAGGCCGACGCTCCACTTGCCCGGGGTCATCAACTTCACCCTCGGCTTCGAAGACATTCTTTGCAGTATAGTCAAGTTGTGAATTCACTTGCGTTAGAGGTGATACTTCGTCCAGTGCTGTTGGCCTAGACGTGGACGCCGACGATGTGTCTGCACCCGCATTCTCACCACTGATGATCTGCTGGTCCAGTGAGAGCACCACCGGAGGTTCCACTTGAGGCTGCCCCGATGCTGCTGTCGTTGACGGTACGATATTATCGATACCATCCTGGCCCAAACTCATCGATCCGCCGCGATCCTTCGTGGACAAGGGAGCGATATGCCCAGACGGCGGCTTCGCCTGGTCGCTCACCTCGTCCCCCCATCATTGACTGCTATTGTGGAAGAGATTCAGCGTCGAAGCCAACGCCGTCGCTCCTCCAGTGTTGCTGCTGTCCAACTGCTGAAACTCACTCACAGGCAACATCAGGTGACCACTCTCAGAATCCTCCAGGTTGTAGCTCATCGTGCCCGGTGGTAACTGGATGGTAGCATCACCCGGGCCCAGAAAGTGAATGCGATTGTTGACAATGTCGAGTATTGTGCGCAACTGCCGCAACGAACGTAGCCCAAGCAGGGCTGGAATGTCCGAATCTGGCACGATAGGTGCCGTGTACACCGCTGGGGTACCTGTCGAACTGTGCTCCTGCGCTGGCAGGGCAATCGGAAATCGTCCAAATCGTGCACACTGCTGTCGTCCGTTGCCTACTCCTTCCACGTTCAACACCTCGCGCATGGGACGGTACTGCGTCTGAACACCAGCCTCCGCGGCCAGCTGCTCCTGCCGCCCAGCCCACTTGTCGCCCGTGAGATTGTCATGAGCACCAGGATCAACAAGAAGACCTTCTCGCTTCGGTCCGAGTCTCGTCCGCGTATGCCACGTGCCTCGCTTCTCCCTCGCCTCCTTCAAGCCGTGCTGCTCATAGGTCGGGAAGAAAATGTGTGACGCGCGTTGGATATATGAGCTCGATCCCGCTGGTGCTGATGCCGTCGCGGCTGCTGAGAACGAAGCGCCACCATTGTTCTGAGTGGACATGCCACGTCCACTCTGGGATACCGTGTGTGATCCAAGTCCAAGTATAGCAGTAAGATCCCGCACTGATTGATCGGTCATACGTGGTCTGTCTCCTGGATGCTCCTGAACTCCTGGTCTGTCGTCATGTTGATCGTGATCGTGGCCCTTGCTCTTGTCTTTGCCCTTCTTGCCGTTCTTGCCTTTTCCTCGTCCTCGTCGTGCATGGTCACCTTGGAGATCCGTATCTGGTATTCGTTGCCCCGGCAGTGAGGCTCGATCCGATCTTGTCATTCCGCCCAATTGACTGATAGGTGATGTCTGTGATATCGTCGACGCCGCGCCGTTGTTTACATCACCTGACCAATCCAGCGGGCTCGCTCTCGTCGTCGTCGGACGTTGGCTATTCAGGATGTAGTCATCGCCAGCACCACTGAACGTACTCCATGGATTCTCATCGTCTGGTACCGAAACCGCCGACCAGTGCTGGTTGTCAATATGTTCCTGTCCACCCTGCATCTGATTCGTCATGAAATGAGCCGTCGGAATATTCACACCAGCCAACAAGCCTGACTGAGGGGCATACATCGAACCAACGAATGACTGCTGTGCCGGTGCCGATCCTTGCTGATAAGACTGAGCGTGATGATGACCCTTTGGCGGGCATAGACCATCTTTGATCATGTGATTCTCTGATCCGCACCCGTGGCACCGCAATATCTGTCCGTCGGGTCCGCGAGGATTGGTTCGCCGCTTGCCACCTCCTTTTCGATCAAACGTATAATGGGGTGTTGGAACAGGCGGCACCACTTGGTCATCATAATAATTTCTATTCCAAGAACTCGCTTGACTTGTCCCCGCGAAACCCTTTCCACTGCCATGATATCCTTTTCCTGCTGAAACGAAGCCACGACCTTTTCCTTTGCGTCGTGAATGACGCCGATCAAAACGTGTCGTCTTCTTCGTGAACGTTCTCCAGCGTCTCCGTGTAACCAAGAAGTCGTGCCACAACGTATCTGCGCGCAGCGAGGGGTCCACCTGTGATAAGTACGCCTCGAGTTCTGCGTGTGGTGTCTCCTCGCCGCTCGTGCCGCTGCTGCTCCAGTCGTCGTGGTCTGCCAAATATCCACCAAGGACTTCCCCAGGAGCATTCGTCTGCATCATAGACTGCATTGGATACGATTGATGCTGCATGACCGGATACGCTGACGTGGGAGCGCCGCCCAGCGTGAGCGTGCCACTGTTCTGCCATGGGTCTGAGTGCTCCCAGGGATCTGTCATACCTGTCATCGTCGGGAAGTAGAAGTTGCCCTGTCCACGTTGCATTTGAGGAGCACCACCCATCATAGATTGATTCTGTCCTGCCATCGCTGCATTATTTGCTATTCCACCGTGCTGATGTACATGACCAACTCGCCGAATGAGCCCAAGCAATTCGTTGAACTGTTGATCGTCGGCCGGTAGATTGCCACGAAATCCAATCAGTAGATTCACCCACTCGGCCGGTGGTATACGAAGACCAGTCAGTAGTAACCAAGCAAATCCACCAGGACCCAGATCCAAATTGCCTTCAGCGCCAGCCTTGAACTGTAGACTGGCAAACCTTCCCAGCGTAGTGTCAATATCTTCTCCTGGCATCCGTCTGAAACTCATGAGCTCGGCAATCGATGAAGTCGATGTCTCAATATCGAGGGGAGCGAACTGTCGATGCAGTCCACGAAGTATGATGGCCAATCCAGTAACTTGTCTCATGCCGAGCCCATCTCCGAGATCTCTCATGCCACCGTCTCTGACAACGGCCGGGTCCAACGTGTTCACGAGCTCGCGAGCCACACCTCCAAGACGTAAGATGATCGCTGCTCCTTGCGCTTGATCTGGTAACTCACATGCCAAGGCCCACCACACCACATTCCGAGACCACTGCTTGAATGGATAGAATCTTTGCCACCTACTGTCCCAGGCTGGTGGAATCTTCAACGTGCCCATAATACTCGTCTGATCTGCCACATTACCAAAGCCAGCCTGGGAGTTGCCCTGAGGCATCTGCATCATGATGATGAACGTGCTGTGACGGGAGTCTCGGACGTGGTGGTCGCAGTCGTAGAAGTAGCCGTGGATCGCGCCGCCTGGCGGGCGGCGAGAGGAGCCGAAGCTCCGCTACCAAGGTCGATTGACCCTGGCAATGGTGAGATAGAAGAGAGAAAGATGGGATACCTTTGTCAGTACATGCAAAGGAAACAGTAAATCTGGACGCGTCCTTGAGTCAAACGTTTACGGCGGTCGGGGCCCTACACTACACACATAACATACAGAGAGAGAGAGAGAGATAGGCATACATGCTATCTGCTGCATTGCGACTCTCCTAGGGCCTCTTGGAGGCCTGTTGGGCTGTGTGTTCGCCGCCTTGAGCTCATCTTGGGCCACGTTGGGATCATCTGGACCGTCCTGGAGCGCCTTGGGGCCTCCAGCTCCCGCTCTGGGACCCAACTTGGGCCTCTCCTGGGATTATCTTGGGCAGTCTTGGGATGCTCTTGGGCAGTCTTCAGGCTCTCCAGGGTCGTCTTGGGAATGTTTTTGGTGCCTCTTCGGCGGTATTGGGGCGATCTTCGGGGCGTCTTCGGCCGTTTTGGAGCGTTGGAAGAACGAAAGCGAAGCTCTCTTGGGGCCTCTTGGAGGCCTCTTGGGTTTTGTTTTTGTCGTGTTGGGCCCATCTGGGGACCCTGGTCCTCCCATGCCCCCCCGGGCCCTGGGCCCCGGGCGCCCGGGCCCCGTGCACAGGGGTATATATATATATATATATATATATGGAGAGAGAGAGAGAGAGAGAGAACAAAAGAGAGAGAGAGAGAGATGTGTGTGTGTGTGTGTGTGTTTGTGTTTGCGCACAGCCTAAAACCAGTTGTTGCGACTACGCTACTGCTGCTGTGACTCGCGTGGCCAAAACTTTGCTCGACCGTGGCCTGACCCCTCCACCGGCTCATGCCGACGAGCCTTGCGGACGCCTCCTCCGCGTGCCGGCTGGACTGCTGCCTCAGGCGGCGGTGTGCCTGCACAAAGGTATCACAAGCAAAACCACCCTTCACTCTACAGCCTGCCCCAGAGAACTGCGTCACACTCATGCGGGAGATGCACCAAACAAAAATCAAATAGAAAGCTAAATGATCCGCAATGCTGGCAGGAGCCCGCCGCTGTGACCCCTCTGTGGCACCAGAACCTACATTGGGAACGGGTCTTAGCAACGTTGACCGGGACTGAGAAGCGCCAATATTGACCTAGCTAGGCTGGACTGAGCTCGCCTGAATTGGGCAGGGCTGAAGCAGGTCTGAATTGGGTTCACAACAGGTTCGCTTGGTGGACCTGGACTTTCCTCTGACCATGCGCCTGCGATTCATATTGGACACGGGCTGGACCGAATTGACGTGAACAGCGCCTGCATTGATTTGATCAGCCCTGAGACGAACCGAATTGAGCTAAGCTCGAGATTGAATCTGCAATTAAACAAAAGAGGGGGGATGGCCAAACGTATCCCGAAACTAAAACTGACGCTCAGGGCCCTGAGCCGGCGTGCACGTTGGCACGGTTTCACCACTGAATATGGAGCATTCGCCAGGGATTAGTTGCTCGAAACCAAGAATTTCCATAAGACGAGCCAAGAGACCCCGTGAGGCCACGTTCCAAGGGTGTCCCGAATCGCTAAAAGATCTGTCCAACACGCTCAAGGTAGCTCGAAGATGGCCCAAGAAGCCTTCGAGACTCACCAAAAGTCTTTCCACGAGGGCCCGAGAGGCCAACATCATTGATTTCCTGAGGTTGTGCGGGCTCTCGGCTGTGCGAGCTTCCGACGCTACAGACGGCCCTAAGAGGCCCACCAAACCGCCCCAAGACGGCCTAAGAGGCCCCCCAAAGGGCCCCCAAACGGCCCTGTGGTCCCAAAAAGGGCCCACAGAGTGGGAGCCCGAACCGACAGTTCGAGCCTTCCGTGCCTAGATGCTCCCCAGGAGGTCCCACGAGGCCCCCAAGAGGCCCCAAAAGGCCTCCAGAAGGCACCCAAGACGCACCAAGAGGCCCCAAAACAGACTCCAAGAGGCTTCGACACTGCCTCCACCATGCCCCCGAGAGACATCCCGCGACATCCCAGCGAGCATCCTTGAGAGGCCTGTGGCCCACAACGCCAGACACGGTGGCGGGATGGACAGAAGGCCATTGGAAGAGTGGGCTCGTTGTGCCGACCAAAGCTGGGCATAAGCCATTCGCAGACAGAGCCAATAAGCTGACCTGAGCGAACAGACCGAAGCTTCAGCTGAGCTGGGCTGGAACGACTTTGCCCGAAAGAAACCTGCACACATTCTGCGCCTGACTCGGACGAGGTACGAGCAGAGTCGGAAGCCTGGGCTGGTCAGCTTAGTGGCGACGAGGTCGGTTGAGTTTGGGTATGGCGTGCGCACCATGTGCTCGACAGAACACTGCAACAACATAATATGTAAACATATCAGAGAGATCGCGTTTCACGGGCGCTTGCCTTGGGAAAATTCGGCAGCGCGTTTCGAATCGGGGGGTGGCCCACCCCCCAACACTCGGCGCCGTCGATCAAAACCAAGGGGACTCCCCTTCCCCCCCCCCCCTCCCGCACCTCCCCCCCTCCCCGCCTCCCAAGGGGGAGGGGTTTTCACCCCCCCCCACCTCCCCTCTGGCGCCGGCGCCGGCGCTGGCGGCCGCCAGCAACGCCGATGGCGGGGACGCAGCGACGATGACCAGAGGCAGCCCAGGGTGGGGTCCCCCCCCCCCTCTTGCGCTGGTGCCGGCGCCGGCGCTGGCGGCGGCCATGCGTTGGCGCTGGCGCCAGCGACGGCGGGGACGCAGCGAGGATTACCACCACTACCACCACCACCACTACCACCATCACCACCGACTCAACCCACCACAACCACCAACCCACCACACAACCACCACCACCACCACAGCCACCACCACCACCACCACAACCACCACCACCACAACTTACCATCACCACCACCAACAGGAAAAAAAACAAAAAAAACACGACCACTACCACCACCGCCACAATCTACCACACCACCACCACCACCGCCACAACCATCACACCACCACCACCACCACCACCACCACCGCTACCACCACACCACCACCACCACTACCAGCAGCGCAACCCACCACCACCACCACAAACCACCACACCACCACCACCACTGCCACCACCACCACCACCAGAACCACCGCCACAAACCACCGCCACCACCACAACCCACCACCACCACCACCACAACCACAAACCACCACCACCACCACCAACCACCACCACCAACCACCACACCACCACCACCACACCACCACCCACCACCACCACCACCACCACCACCACCACCACCACCACCACCAACCACCACAAACCACCACAAACCACCACTAAACCACCACCACCACCCATCACCACAACCACCACCACCACCACCACCACCACAACAAACGACCACCACCACAACAACCACAACCACTACCACCACCACCACCACCAAGACCAACCACCACCACCACCACCACCGTCCTCGTCGACGCTCCCCGCCGCCGCCCGCCGCCGCAGATGCCAGCGCCAGCCCAGAAAAGGAAATCGTCGTCCCCGCCGTCGCTCGCCGCCAGCCGCCGCCGACGCAGGCGCCGGCCCGAGGAGAGGGGAAGTAGGAGAGGGGGGGGAGGGGTCGAACCCCTCCCCACCCACTTCTGTCACGGGGGGGTGTATCAAACCCCCCCTCCCCCCCATCCAGGGGGGGAGTCCTGTTCCACCCCCCCCCCTCCAAGCGACCACAGAACGCGCTCTTTCAAATATCAGCACGGTTGTTTGTGTGCTGTGATATTTTTTTCACGCAGCCCACCCTAAGCAGCCACCCCACAACCCCGATACCTCGGAGTTCCTCCGGCTGGCCACGCGTAGCCCGATCAATACCCCTGTCGCCCTAAACCCATGTGGGCTGCCACCACCGGTCCGCACCCCCGAACAATACCGAAGGACTTACCCAGCCCATCTGCGACAAGCGGCAGTAGCGACGGGCTCCATGTGGCAGTTTGGAAAGTGCGAGTTGCCCCTTCACCGAGCTCTGTGGGGAGCGTACGAATGGCGAGCGCAAACCAACTACTCCAGATTTCGTAATAAAGGGAGGGGGGTCTCATTTCGGGGGGGGGGTCTCTTCCAGGCTATCTTGGAGGGCCTGGGGGGGTCTGGGGACGATGTCCTGGAGGGTTCTCCCACGAGGGGAGGTCTGAAATGGCCTGTCCTGGAGGGTCCAGACCCCCTCCCTCTTATTACGAAACCTGGAGCATGTGAGGCGAGCCCCAAAAAACTGTTGAGCTGAGGCGTGACGCGTCACTCGCCGTGCCCCAGACGCCGACGACGGTGGCAGCCATCTGCGCAGAGCTGGCACCGCCCACGGGGAGCGGGCCTCGCTCGGCCGGCGTGGGGCGTCCACTCGCGGAAGGTCCAAGGAGGGCGAGAATGGCGGGACAGCCGCGCACGTGGCGGCGCCAACGGAAGGGGTCTAGGTAGCATTTTCGCCAGACGAGATCTCGTAATAAGAGGGAGGGGGTCTGGACCCTCCAAGACAAGCCATTTCAGACCCCCCCTCGTGGGAGAACCCTCCAGAACATCGTCCCCAGACCCCCCCAGGCCCTCCAAGATAGCCTGGAAGAGACCCCCCCCCCAAAATGAGACCCCCCTCCCTTTATTACGAAATCTGGAGTAGACGCCACTCCGCGGACCAACATACGACGCCAGACTGCTGGACCTACATGCGCGAACACACAGGGGGAGAGCTGCGCAGCACCCAGCGAGGGAGAGGTCTTATTTGGGTGCCGCAATGAGCGTCGCTCGGCTTGGCCTCCCAGGAGCACACGAACATGGCGACGGTTGCGCCGTTGGCAGGACGCAGTGAGGGCAAGGTCGCGTCTGAGTGTCCGCAACACGTCGCTCGCTGGACCTCTCAAGAGCTCACGAACTGGGCGACGGCTGCGCATTTGGCCCCACCCAGGGTGGGCGAGGTTTCGTTTGGGTGCCCTCAAGGCGCTGCTCCGCTGAGCCTCCCAAGAGCTCACGAAAGTGGCGGCAGCTGCGCACTTGGCAATACCCTGGGAGGGCGAGGTCTCGTTGGGGTGCCCGCCAGGCGGGCCTGGGCCTCTGGTGGACCCTCCAAGAACTCACAACAGTGGGAACGATTGTGAATTTGGCAGCGCCCACACAATCCGAGGTCTCGTTTGGATAAACGCAGGACGTCACCCCGCTGGACCAGCCAGGAGGTTACGAGAGCGGCGGCAAATGGGAATTGGCAACACCCAGGGACGGCGAGGTTTCGCTCGGGTGTCCACAAGTCAGCCTTCCGCTTGACCCACCAGGAACTCACGAAAGTGCAGAGAGTTCCGCACGTGGCAACATCCAGGACGGCGAGGTAGGAAGCGGGTAAGACGCAGTCAGCAACACCCAGGGGAGGCAAGGTAGGAGGCACGGCGAGCGAGGAGACCGCGACGAGAGGGGGAGTAGGGGAGGCGGGCGGAGGAGGGGAGCAGCAGTGCTCTACTCGAAAGGAGCCCAACACAGGAGGGCAGAGGAACAAAGGCCCTCTGGGTTTCGAGGCTGTCCCTGCATTGTGAGAAAGCCTGGTCGCAGTTATCCGCTACTGCGCATCATGATCATGGTTAGTCGCAAATGAGCATCGAATGCCTCAAGCACAGCATGCGCAGTGCGACACTGCCACAAAGTGGGCACAACTGTCAGAAGTGGGAAGAAAGCAATAATTAAACTGGGTATTGTTAAGCGTGTGCCTGGCCCAAGGTGTCCCCAGGATCCCCGGGAAGGCCCAGATGGCCTCCAGAGTACCATCCACGAGGCACATAGGGCACCAGGGCTCCAAGATGACGCGACAAGCTGGAGAACCCTCGGGTCCGGACCACTTCTAGAAATCACCGACCAAAGCCTGATGGCTGGAAGCGGTCCGCCAGGGGCCGATGCGCCACCACCCCCAGGGCCACCCCAAATCTGCGACTT